CAATCCACCCTACAACAAGGAGAAATAATGATGGGTGCGAACGACATGGATGGCTGGATGACAACCCACGGGGCACCCGCACCACAACCCCCGCCAACAAGAAGGGGAGGGACGAGACACTTCACCGATGACTACAAAAAAGAGATCCATGAGCAAACGATGGAAAGCCACGCCATGGGACCCTGCACGCGCGCAAGAAGGGCAAAAGAATTAGCAAACGATGAAGGGGACCGAAAAACCCAATGAACGATCGAGCAGTAAAGGACCTTAAGATGGGGGGGGACAACGAGAAGTGGATCAATATACCCACGGATGTCCACGGAAGAAGGCAGCACTCCTGAGTGGGAGAACACACGCAGGAGCATATCCATCAGAGACTATCCTGATAGACGCCCGGATCCACTCAATATACCCCTCCCCCGAGCACACATGTGTACAACCCCACCAAGGAAGATCAGACGGATCCCAGAATAGAACCAAAAAAGGGGATAAGTGTAAGTGAGCGAAAGCAACCGGCGTATGCTAGCAGAAAGAAAGTGATCGAGCCCAAGAAAAAGAAAATAGCAATCTTGGAAGATACCAACACAGCAAGAGACATGTGCCCTTTAAGAACAAACCAAGTAGAGAAAACGGACAGACCGATGACTAGATCGAGAAGCCGGGCACAGAGCTGTCCGGTGGTATAAAAAGGACTCCCAGTAATCTTGTACGTGACCTTCTCTAGTTCTCAAATAGATATACTGGGGGGTGGGAGAGAGCACATTCACTCTTGTAAGATTCTGTTACTATAACTTTGTAATGAAACTTGTATTAGCATTCACAACTTTAGTTTCCAGATTGATGTACCTTACTTATTTTGTTGCAAAGGAATCACTTGAGCTTTCTTCCTTGCAATAGATCACGGGTGTCAAACTCGCCACATCATGTGACATGTCGCAATGTATCGTGACTTTTTTCGCATTGTCGGAGCTGGGGTGGGCGCAGCCTCTGCATGATGCAACCGGCCCATGGGCCGGCAGTTTGACACCCCTGCAATAGATTAAGAAGAAAAATCAAACTATTCCCCTTCTTTTAAAGCTATTATTGTTATATGGGTAATCTATAATTAGATTTACAGTCAAAGACTGGTGAAAATGTAATAATTGAGATCCTAACCAAGGACCTAAGAATTATTAAGGCAATTTCTCTATATATAGATAGTTCCAAAGCAGGTTTTTTTATATAAAATTGTGGTTTATCACATAGTCAATCAGATGTTCATACTGGATTTGGCATTTTTGTCCAACTATTGTCCTTCCCAAGGACCTGGAATAGGCAGATGTTGATGTTTTGTGGTATTAAAGGTATCATCGCAGGATGTAAGTTGTTCCGAGTATTATTATTATTTTTCAAAAAAGTGAAATTGTTATTTGCTATAATACAATAGCCTACTAGAATCCATCGATGCTTGCATCTACTTATGGTTGCCATTTTATCTTAGAAATGGAAGACATGGTGGCAGGGACAGTGAACATCTTCTGAAAGTATATTTATGGAATACTGTTGTATGTATTGAGTACTATTAGACTTCTACCAGAAAGATTTGGATTCAAATTGTATGATTTAGGATATATATTAGAATAAGTTTAGATTCAGCAATGAAGCTTAAGTACAAACTCTATGAAGAACAGAAACTGTCTATACTGGATCCTTCTGGATTTTGGAGGTGGAGAGGGCTGGGAAGGAACAGTTCCAGAAAGAAAAGTTGCAGTTGTTGCAATGTCCCAATTTCTGACCACGTTCATCTTCTACCATTAAAACATGGAACTGATTGGTATTGGTATCAGAGAACAATAGGCGAAGGAATAATTTTGTCTTTTTTAGATGCATGTTTTAGGGCAGACTGCAAGTATGAAGAGTAATCCAGGCTCACCTGATAATACTCCACCACCAACCCCCACCCTGCCATCAACGGGCCCACAGTATCTTGGGAAAATTCAGCCTGGGACTATAGGGAATGGCAGCACTGGACAAGAACCCTCCAAAGTCAAACAGCGAAAGAAGAGAAAAGTACGTTAAAACTAACAATAGAGACAATGAAATATTTCAGCTACTCCAAATGTGGATGCTGTCCTCTGGAAAAGCTTATCCTATCTGTTCAGTGTGCAGGTCTTTCCTGTGACATCTAATAAACATAGTATTGAAGAGATTTGTAGACCATTCTAGTCAGACTCTCAGTGTGATGCTTGGAAGTAACTCTTAAGGATCTGTCAGAATCATAAGATCCAAAGGAGAGGTCCTTCTGAAGATGACCTGCTTATGAGGTACTCTTTGCCCTCAATTTCTGCTTTCTTTAAGGAGGCACTGACAGGTATAGCTAGCACACCAGTGTCCTCTGAAGCACATTTCTCCTTTGGATCCAGGTAGAACAGCTATTCCTGTCCCATTGAAGTATAATGATTTTTATCTTGTGTCTTTGTGGGTGATTGTTTTAAGCTATAAGTTGTCTTGGGAATCTAGTCTGAATAGAAGGATGGAATATGAATCAGGATTGTGTGAGGCTCAGCTAATCACAGTGGAAAGTATAATATGTATATTTCTTCTTTTCCTCCTTACGATGGCTGTCTTTTAATATTTGTGTTTTTACTGTTTTTAACTGTTTGTAAGCTACCCAAGGTTGTTGGCATTTGATTAAAAATCAATCAATCAATTAATCCCCAGCACATGTTTCATTTTTGTGCTGTCAAATGTATGCTGTGAAATGGAATTTGGAATGGAACGCATATGGAAATCTAAGTTGCTTTGGAAGTTATGATTTGTTTATATGAGATCTGACAACCATTTTAGATGGTCTTGTGACTGTGCTTCAATGAGATCAGTTTCCTTATTGTGGTGCAGTTTTGGAATAATTTTCCATGAAGATTCATTTTGGATAGAGTATTTTTTCCCCAAAATCCATTAAAAAAACTTTAGTCATTCAGATGTAAAAAAAACGCTTCCTTTTTTATATTAAAGTGTATTGTTTTGAAAAGTCTCTGAAAGCCTTAGATGAAGAATTAAAGAAATAAACCTTAAATATCAAAGTAATTGTTCAGAAGCTCCTTGTCTACTAGGGGTTCTAGTAGTAACATTGATTGTTGTTTTATCATTCAGTAGAATGTATAATATTACAAAATTGAGATTTAAAATAATAACAAAATAATACATGAAGGAATAAATAAATGAGATAAAAAAATGAAATAAATTTTGGATTGTTAGAAATGATTTATCAAAATTTCTAGCCTGAGAAAAATGTTGCTTGAAAATAAAATAGTCCTCAACTTATTACCAAAATTGAGCCCAAAATTTCTGTTGCTAAGCGAGACAGCTGGCCCTGGGACATTGCAACCGTCATAAATGTGACAGTTGCCAAGCATATGAATTTTGATCACTTGACTTGGGGGATGCTGTAATGGTTGTAAGTGTAAAAAATGGTCGTAAGTCACTTATTCCAGTGCTGTTGTAACTCTGGACGGTCTTTAACAAACTGGTGTAAATTGAGGATTACCTGTACTATGTAAATCCCAGAATCATAGATAGGTTGTGTGAGATAGTAAATACTGCTCAATAAAGCCTCTTCTGGAAAATGTTAGTAATCTTTGAGCAGAATAAATTTATGTCAGCTTGGCACCATAGTTACATAATGTGATATTAAAGATGCAAACATAAACACAGACATAGAGAGAGAGAGAGAGAGAGAGAGAGAGAGAGAGAGAGAGAGAGAGAGAGAGAGAGAGAGACTTGCAAGCTTAGAATAAATTGAGATTTCATTTAAGATCTCATTTAGCTAGGAATCCCTATCAGTATCAGAAGAGATAGATTTCTCATCACACATTGGGCATTTCAGCAATCATTGAAAGTATAAAAAATTCACTTTACAGACTGAATCACATAATATGAGTAAAGTGGCAAATCTAAGCACTGGTATCACTTGACTTACTAAGAAAGCTTCACAACTACAATTTTTACAAAATTGCATGTAGGGGAAATAAAAGATTACCCTTTAGGAAAATCAGAAATTTTTTGCTAGGGTTAATCATACAAATGCATTCACTTTCTTGACCTAAAAGCAGGGCTTTTAGTAATATCAGAAGTGGTCAATCTGGTGATTCCATTCTAAGCTCCAGTTGGTGCACAGAAGTTCCTCCAAGTTCTCTGTTATCTATGGACTTATGGTATTAATGTTGCTTGCTTCCAAAGTAGCCTCTCCATTCAAGGAAAATGCTATTCTTCCTGTTCTTCATGTGTTGTACAAGTAAACTTTACCTTCTAGAATAAATTTCCTTTTTGCTCTGTTCATGAATGTTTGAGTTTTATTTTAATGTGAACTGTGTGACAATGATTGTCTCTTTAAAAGAAATAAGTAAATTCTACAAAGGTCAATTTTCTTAATTCACAGTGTGTGCTTGTTATAAGTTTTCAATTTAATAACAATGAATGTGCTTTGTTGTTGTTGTTGTTGCTGCTGCAGAGTACTGCAGCTTGTGGTGCAGAAGCCCAGAGTGATGCCATCCAGCCTGCCCACATCAGAGAGGCCATTCGACGCTACGGCCACAAGATTGGACCCCTTTCCCCTTACACAGTATGTAATAACAAAGATTTAAGAAGCTATATTTATAATCTTAGAGAAATTTGATTTTCAAGTGGTCAAATGAAAAAGACTTGGAACTGTTAAATGCAATTTGTGGAAATTCTAGTTTTCTTTAAAAATGGAATAATTCCTTGGGGGAATGAAACAATATTTTTCTTTTGTTTGGGGCAAAGGAAGAGGGCTTTTGTTTTAAATATTTCTAATGATGTTTTTTTTTGTTTGGAGTACTCCTAGTATCAACAAAGTTTAAATATTCTAATATTAGTGGATTGATCAATCTTCTAACAAAGATTAATTCCTTAAGTCACACATTTAAAGGTTCTTAATGACTTAGACTTCATAAACCATTTACATTATTTTATATTTGGATTTATATCCCGCCCTTCTCCCGTAGGACTCAGGGCGGCTGACAATCTATTTAAAATACATACAAAACAATACAAATTTAAAATTAATTAAAAGGAATATTTAAATATTTGTCGAATTTTAAAATATAATTAAAACCCCCCTAAAAATTACCCTAGGCCAGTCCTGCAAGCTGGAATAACCAAGTCT